TTAATTTAATATATAGTAATAAAAAATTTATTATAAAAGCTACGCTATCTAGATTAATATTTTAATCTTAATTATTACTCTTACTATTATATAAATAATATAAAATTATCTCTTATTTAAATATATCTAATTCTTAATTCTAATTATTATTATAGATATCGTTAATTTATTCTAGAATTATTAAATATACTTTTATATACTTTCTATATTTTACTCTTTTTTTAATTAAATAGCGATTAAACTCTAAATTAAAATAAATACTTAAAAGAGAAAAGTTTATAAGTACTTAATTATATAATTTTATTTCTTTTATACTTTTTATAATTATTAGAATAATTAATAATATATAATTATATCTTATAGTTATATTTATAATAATTAATTAATTTAATAACTAAATTATATAAAGATAAATATACTCTTATCTTTAATTTAAATAACTTAATTAAAATAATCGCGAGATTTAAATTCTTTTTCTATAATATAATTCGCTTTCTATATATTATATAAAAATAAGTATTTATTTAAATAAAGATTATTAAAGCTAACTATAAAGCGTAATAATAAAAGACTTACTCTTAAACTAATAAACTAAAAAGACTTTTATTACTTTATATAATACTTTAAAAGCGAATCTTTAAATATAATAGCGCTTTAATAAATTCTAATTAAATATAATTTAACGAATTAAGCGCTAAAAGAGAAGCTTTAAGATTATAAAATTAATTAACTTTTAATAGCGATAAATCTCGCGTAAAGCTTAAATTATAACTCGCGTTAATTATATATAATAAATATAATAATAATTAAAAAAATATATTATCTAGTTTCTATTAATATTTTAATACTATTAAAATAGAGGTAATATTTATTAAAGTAATAGCGATAGCGATTAAAGCGATAATAATATTTAATAAACTTTTTACTTTAACGCTATATCTAATACTCTAGAATAATATTAACTTTTTCGAAGAGCTATTAATAATAAATTAAGTATATATAAATTAAGCTCTTCGCGTAATCTATCTATATATTAACTTAAAATTATTAAAAAATAAAAAATAAATATATAATTTAATAATTATATTATACTTTTAATATTATTATAATAATATTAAGTTACTTAAATAGAAGTTTAATATATAAAAAAGATAATTTTATAATAAGAAGAGTTAATATAAAAAAGAAAGTTTTAAAAGAGAAGAAAAGGGAAAGAAAAGCTTAGATATCTATCGCGCGTATTAAATTTTTAGATTACTTTAAATTATTTAACTTAAATTAAATATTAATAAAACGCTTTCTCTTTAATTTTAAAAATTTAAGTTTAAGCGAATTACGCTTATTAAGTATTATTATCTAATATAATCTTAGCTACTTTTATAATAATTATAGTTATTATTATAATTTATATAAATTAAAAGATAAAAGATTTAAAAGAGCGAGCTAATAAGTAACTATTTTTATCTAATTTAGCTAATATTAAACTACTATAACTTATTAAAATTTTTATATATTTTATTCTTACTTTCTTATTTTTAAGTCTTACTATCTTTATAGAAATAATTATTTTTTAAATTAGACTTTATAATAATACACTTATAATAACGTATAGTATATATCCTCTTTATTTCTAATATCGATACTTACTAGAATTAACGTACTTTTTAATAAAACGAGCTTTAATTAAAATTAAGAATAGCTTAATATTCGTAGATATTTATATAAGCCCTTTAATTCTTTTATATATATCTATTAATTTATCTTTTTATAATAATTAAAGTAGAAGAAACTAAGTCTAATAATTTATTATAATAAATATTAAATATTAATAATAATAATAATATTAAAGAGTCTTAATATAAGTTAATTAAGCGGCGATTAAGCTCTTAATTAAAATAAAAAGCGAAGAATAAACTTAATTAAAATAAAAATATTAAGAGATCGCGATAGCGAATAAATATATTTACGTCTAAGAAGAAACTAATTAAAAAAGTAAAGAAAGTTAATATCTTAATTATTAATTATATTATAATTATTAAAAAGCGTAAAGTTAAATATATTAATATATCGTCGTTATAATAGAAATAAACTCTTAAATAGATTAAATAAAATATAATAGATAAATAATAAGTAATTTCTAATTTTAATTATTATTCTAATAAATTTATATTTTAATAGTATTATATAAAAAAAGCACGCGAGCGTAATTACGAAGAAGTCTAGAGTTTCGCTTATCGCGCGAACTATTATATATATAAATAAAGATAAAAATTTAAATTAAGAAGAAATAAATAATATCGAAATTAAATAAGATATAAGTATTAAGAATAATTTTACTATACGCGCTAATAATTAAGTAGATTTTATCTTTTAAACTACTTAAGAGTATAATATAGAATTTAATAATAAGCGCTATTATAGCTTAAATATAATAATATTAACAAGCTAGCTAATAAATATCGAGTTATTATAAAAATCTTAAAATATTAAATATAATTATATCTAGAAGATAAAATTATAAATCTTTACTCGTATATAATTAATCTAATATATAGTAACGAGTAAAGGTCTATGAATTAAATTTATAGTCATTTTTTTAATTAGAGCCTGATGGGCTATCGAGTAAATAGGTGAGCGATCTTTGGTGAGCGAACTTTGGTGAGCGATATTTGAATTCCTTGCGCTTTAATGATTATAAGACCAATTTTTAAAATTCTTAAAAATTCGAAAAGCGCAAATAGCGTTTCAAAATTTAAAAAAAAAAAATTCAAAATTTTAATAGAAAATAAAAAAGTTATTACTATTGTGAATAACGTACACCTATAATTTAATAAGGGAGGCGCGGGAGGGCGAGATTTTGATGATTGCGGACGCTAATTTATTTACCCGCGATGACTTAGCGAGTCTAATCGAAGAGCGTAGTAACCCTAAATTGATAATTGGCTACACATACAAATTCAAGGTTTTCTAGTTTAGCTCTACCTTATTCTATTATATATACTAATAAAAAGTTTACTATAAAAGCTATATTATCTAAATCGATATTCTAATCTTAGCTATTACTATCGCTATTATACGAGTAACGTAAAATTATCTCTTATTCGAGTATATCTAATTCTTAATTCTAATTATTATTATAAGTAATACTAATTCGTTCTAGAATTATTAAATATACTTTTATATACTTTCTATATCTAATCTTTTTTTTATATATCGCGAGAAGATAGCTTAAAGAAATATAGCTTATCACATTAAACTACGATACTTTCGAGAGGATATTAAGAAATATATTAACTTTTCTAAGCCGGCGATTTAGTAGAAAAACTATAATTATAATACGTATAATTTTATATTAAATAGCGATATCGAAAATATATAATAGATATATAAAATTATCGTTAACGGCTTTAATTATAAAGTATCGACGAATTTCATATAGCTAATATTAAGAAAAGATAAGCTTTTCTTATTATTAGTAGATATAGCTCGCTTTCTTTTATATATATAGAGTAATAAAATATAATCGTATTTAATTCTATATCTTATTAATTTAGCGTAATTATTAATTAGAATAATAATTAGAATAGCTACTTCTAAATATAGAAATCTTAATTAAAATATTTTATATATATATTATTTCATAATATAATATTATAGATATACTATATCGTGGAATATCCCGCTAAAATCCTATATTATATTAGATATAAAATAATATAAATTTTAATAATCTATATTATATTAGAGTATAATATAATAGATTAATATTTTATATTATATTATATCTTTTCGACTAATATAAAAATTATATATCGCTAGATTAATAACTAAATTATATAAAAAACTTATTTTAAAATAATCTCTTAAATTTAATAGATTTATTATTACTCTCGAAGATAATATAAAACTTAATTAATATAAGTAGATAAAGAAGATTTAATTATTTTTAAAGTTATTTATAAAAGAATAATATATTATCTAGAGAGCTTAAGAAGTATATATTATAACGATATCGTAGCTATAAACTATATTTACCTTATTATATACTATTTAAATTACGAATTTTATTTATAATAATATTTAATATCTAAATTATTATCTTTTATAATAAATAAAAGAAAGAAATCTTATATTTATTAAGTTAGATATAACGTCTCTAAGAATTATAGCTTTTACGAATTTATTATTCGCTAATAATAAAGATTTCTCTTTTTAAATCGACTATATAATAGTCTTAGCTAACGCTTAAAATAAGATTAATATTATTTATTAATAATTAATTAAATATCGTCGAGTTACTAGAAGCGTATTAGCCTTTAAACTTTATATATTATCTCTAAGATTCGACGTTATAATTATTATAAAGTTTACTCTAAATTAAATCTTCTCTAATACTTCTTAGAGAAAGATATCTCTTTCTATATATATAGACTCGAAATCTTTATATAAATATCTTATTAAGCTAGGGATAATATAAGAGAAAAGATTAATAATAGATATTCTATATCTAAAATAGTTATACGAATAACGAAAGATTATCGAGATTCTATAGATTAGAGAAGATAAGAATCCAGCTAATTTAATAATAAAGAATAAGGAATATAATATACTATAACGTCTAATAAATATAAATCACCTAGAATTAAATCTAGAAGACTAGATGAAAAGATAAGATACTAATATTAATTAATAGAATTTTTTTTTTTTTTTTTTTATTTTAAATATTTTTTTTTTATTTTTATTTTTTTTTTTTTTTTTTTATAAATTTTTTTTTTTTTTTTTTTTTTTTAAAAAAAAAAATTTTATTTATATTTTTTTTTTTTTTTTTTTTTTTTTTTTTTTAATTTAAAAAAATTTTTTTTTTTTTTTTTTTTTTTTTTTTTTTTTTTTGGTATAGGGGGGTTTTTTTTATAAAAAAATTTCCTTTTTTTTTAGACATCATTAAGACTACCACATCTAATGATAGGTCTCATTATAGCAGTAACTGCATACCCAGGTATTTACCAACACACCTCGAACACATACGGAAGCTTGCTGTCAATGTCCTGGTAGCTGCCACCCGGGGCGCTGAGTCCCGTCACCGCGCCCACTTGGTCTTGCAGCGCGTCGTAGAGGGTCACGTCGAGGATGTACTCGGAGTTGTCGGCCTCATTTTTTTGGTATTGCTTTACGTGCACGCCGCACCAGCCACTTTGGTAGCGCTTTCCGAGAGGTGAGGAAATGGCGGCGGGTTGGGGAGGAGAGGGATGGGCAAGAGCGCCGAGGGAGAAGACAGCGGTGGATAGAAGGGCGACAACTGTGCAGCGCATTTTGGGCGATGGTAGGAGGGTGTGGGTTCGATGACAGATGTGTATTATGGAAGAGACCGATTTATGAGCGTAAGAGAAGAGGACTGCGGGTGAAGAAGCTGATGCTTGGAAATGGAGTGTTTGCTTGGATTTGTTCGGATTTTGTCTTGACTGTGGTGTTGATGATGGGTTGAACAATGGGGAAGTGAGGCCTCTCTTATACTTGTCGGAGCTTTGGGATATGCAGGATCCTCTCGAGCACTGTCCACACCATCAACCCTGCGATGTGATCAGGTCCACCCGGCATGCACCTGGGCCTCAAACGTTTCGTAATCTCTGCCTCCTGCAACCCTACCTAATCAATCGTCCAAGTTACATATCCCTTACCGTTGCATCGTTGAATGACACGGCTGGGTTCGTTGCCGTTCGTATCCTGCACGAACCTCGGATAAGGATCGCAGAAGCTACTTGATTTGGACAGCGATGTTGATGGAACCAAACTCGAGCAAGTTTGTTGCGGCGCTGTAAGCCAGCAATTTGTCATTAACAACGGAAGAATGCAAAGGAACGGTACTCAAGAAGTCAGCTACTCCACCTACAAGTGCAAGATTGTGGTACCTGCAGGCTGAGATCGTCGATCCGCATAACGATTGGAACTCCCATGACGAGGCTTCCCACAGCAGCCCCTGAATAAAAGGAGGTGGCAATTCCATCATTTGTGAATCAAGAGGAAGTATGTCATTGCACGAATCCTATACATCTGAAACATATGTTAGTCGGTACATCGAACGAGACAGAGATATCGTACAGCTGTGTAGGTGATCCAATGGCCGTTGCACCGCACATATGGCTCTACTTAAACCGTTAACGCAGGCTTGGCCGAAATTTTCAGCTGTACAGATAGGAGAGCGGACGGAAATGGGACCCGTTAATGCCACTTATATACAGTAGATACAGAGTGGGTATATGTACCCCCTCCAATCATGCGGAATTCGTACAGACGCGACCCCCTTAGCGAGTGAGCTGAGACTCCTACAAGTACGCCAAGTCTCGGATAGATGAACGCCGTGCCCGAAGACGACACGTTTGGATGGCACTTTCGTTGGGCTCAATATCCGTGCTCGTGCAGGCAGCCAAAGTTCTCGGAAGGTACAGCACTCAGAGCTGAGAGTTATATGAAATGCAAAGCGGCGGTTCAGCTTGTGCGTTTTTGATATTGCTTGACCCTGATGTTATTTTGGCTTGACCCGACTGAAAGCAACACGCATATTGCATAAGCAGCATCTCCAGCATTGCCATGCACTTGCAGCTTACGCACTCCGATTTGGCACCTTCATTGGCTACAATTTGAGGCACACGGCAAAGAGAGATCGGATTACATGACCATCCAAACCGTTTCATTTCATGTTATTCCGACCAGACCAATCTCAGCCTCAACCCTCCATCCAAGACATACCCACAAATGCCAACCCCATACTTACACATCCACACTCCGCATCTATTGCTTTTGAGTGGCACAAATACCAGCCTCATACATACATGTTATTATATCTGTCCTGGGACGCAATCACGTTGAATTGTTCAGACTACGAGTAGCGTACTCTCACCCACGTGACGCGAGTATAAAGCGGCGGCACCCTAGACCTGATAGGGGGAGATATCGGGGTACATTACATACATGTGTCTTGGCAAGCCACCCCTCACATCCTGGGAGCGATGATGGCTAATCATCTCAACGGTTTCAGCGGTTACCTATTGACCACCTCTACATATCTGTAAATCCAGCAGCTCCTAAGTGGTGTACTTGGTATCCTTTCGCTGCGCATTCTTTCCCTTTTGAGCTTCTCTTTCCGCGAGCTCAGCATTTTTGGGAAGCTCACCCGCAATAAAACGAACAAGAGCATCATGGCCAACGACGAAGGAGAGTGGAAGCCCAAGGGGCGGCCAACATCGTATGACTGCTAGGCCATTGCTCTGGGCCCCTTGCTAAGAGCTGCCAGCATGATTGCCAGGGACTTCTCCGCTGATCTCAACGATGCATTCGCGATGGACAGCAACCTCGATAGCTTAGTCCAGTCAGTCCAGCTGAAGTAAGCCCCCTATCCTAGCATATGGTTCACGTCTTTCAAAGGTTTGCTGACACTAGTTAGAAAAGAAGCAGTGGATTCACAGACCCAAGAACTCCAAGCCCTCGAAGCACGCCTACGAGACACCGAGGATCGTCTGAAAGAGCGGCAGTCCAGGGATCCATCGCTGGCAGGCAGAAATAATGGCACCAATTCCATCAACAGACGTCAACCTCTCAATAATACATTCAGTGGTCAAGAGAATGATCGGCTGGAATCCTCTACTACAAGCCCACAGGCTACGCAGGCCCCAACGTCCCAATCAGTGTCAGCGAGTACCATGTCACACTGGAGGCCGACGCAAAGTACTGCTTCCGGGACAGGTGGTGGAAATGCGCCCTTTGTTCGCCCGAGTGGGCAGGAGAATAGCCGTCACGTGCAGTAGGTCCGGACACCTCTTATAGAAGTGCATCGAAAAAAAGCCGCGGAATATTTGCTTTTTCCAGAGATTCTGCTTTTCTTTACAGCTAGTCATCCTAGTGAATGGGGGATAAGCCGGTTGCTCATGTTTGCAGCTTCGGGAAGCTGCATTTGACCGGGCCTACTACCCTCTTACTTGCAGGTGATAGGGCTCGGGATGCTCCAAGGCATGGTTTACGAGGGCTTGAGGCTTCGATTCACAGCCTCCAGCGGAGTCCGCCCCCTAAGAACGGCCTGCGATTGTGTGACAGTTTTCGTTCTCTCCTCATTGACAGCAACAAATAGATTGTCAATAAGTCTCAATGGTAATTACGGGTAGGCCTGCTAGGTATCGAGTCCTTCAAGCGTCCACTTCCTTTCTCTTACCACCACAAACTTCCTCCACCTGGGACCGAAGCAGCTTTTTCACGACGATACATGGGCCATGAAGTCTAGTGTCCTAGCAATACGTTGGCTTCATGCCTATGTATGATATTTCAGATGCGCCAGAGCCGAAAATCAGTATCTTTGTTTCTGAACACTCACTATTGCTCCACTACAAACTTCTCCCTCTTTATCACACATCATATCAATCCTTCCAAGCTTCTTCTTTTCTCTGCAATATCTTCACTTACCTTCAAACTTATCAGCATTTGCAATCATAAAACCTTTACTCGCGACTCAACAGCATAGACCACCTTCGACTGGTTCGAAGCAGCGTTTTTCTCTAGATTTCATTGCATAAGATACCAGCTCTTCAGCTCTAATTTCTAGGACGAGCTTCTACAAGTGATCTAGCATCACATAGACCAGGAAGTATGCTCCGTTTGCCCAAATAGCAGGAGCTCGTACCGTCTTGAGAGCGATGACACTGACAATCCTTGAGGTCCAGCACCCTACCCAGGATCCCATTAATCATCAATTGCAGCCTCATTTCGGCATCCTTACAGCATATTACCTTACATTTTCAGGATCAGGAAACCAGCAGTCATGCCTCTTCACCGCCAAACTCACTCTGCTTCCTCCCTCTCCGATACCAACTCAAGCGGCTCCACCCCATCTCGCTCCAGCTCCTCCGAACGCTCAAGCCACCCAAGCGTTCAACAACCACCCCGCACTCACCACCACCAAATCTCCGTCTCCGCACCCCCAAGCTTCGCCAACCGCACGCAGTCCGATGGGCTCACATCCGAATCCTCTTCTCCAAGCTCCTCCACGCTCGTCTCCTCCTCCGACGAAAAAGCGCCCTCCAACCCTTCCTTCGCCACAAAGACAGCAGCAGCCACCCTCTCCCCCGAGACGAAAAAGACGGCGAAGAACCGCTCATCGGCCCGCCAACACGACCAGCTCAAGGGAGAAAGAAGCTGTCTCGACTTCGACTGGAGCTACCGCAACGTCTACGCTTCGGCATCGAGCCACGGACGACGCAAGGCGATCGGTGGCGGGAGTGGGTCCGTGGGAACGTGCGCGCTGATGTGAGGGAGGGAGGGAGGAAGGCGGAACCGAGACTCGCGTCACCGCCTTTTTTTTGGAGATTTTGCCGTCGTGATGGCACCGTGGTTCTTTCTTTCTTTCTTTCTTTCCTCCCAGCACTGAAATACCCCCTTCTACCACACACATCCTTCACCAGTGGCCGGCCACCGGAAGGATGGATCCACGCCCATTTCAGAACCCCCTTCATACCGTCACTTCCGCATCTCAGATCCGATCAGCTCCACGCCTGATCGTTCGGCCGCGCACCCAACATCGATCTTGCTCTTTCTTTCCGTCCGGGGCGCAACGCATATGCATCCACGACGACGCAGCACTGCACTCCCTGTCCGGACTCAATAGGTATTTTACTGGCACTTATGATCTATGACGCATCATCACTTTGACAGGAGCGGTCGGTGGGTTTCGGTACCGTTTGGGACGTATCGCTCTCTGGATGCTGGGACGGCAGTGGGGGCGATTTAAACTTTCAACGTACGTGGTCTGGAAGGGCGTCTTCTTGAAAGGGGTCCGTGATGGCGTGAGTGGCTGTTTGGCTAGTGGACATCTTAGGGGGGAGGCGGTCACTCTGGAGCGGATATGGCATGGTGTTTGGCTTCGATAGTCATTCTAGCAGATATAGTTTCAGTGCCGGCACGAAGTCCATTTTCCACAATATCGGTCTCAACTTTTTCCATTTAAATTCCGGCTATTTCCATAGTCAAGACTCTTACAAACAATTCCACTGCCAACCTCTCTACCTCATCCCTTCCCCTCCCCTCCATTACTACCAGCACTTCGCCCTAACTAACCTCCTCAACAGCCCTCCCACCTCCAAACACCTTTCCAACCCGCCCACTCAACCACTCCCCTGGCACACCCACCCTGCACCCATCGCGATTACTAATCCATCTCACAAAGACCGGATTAGCAGGCGCGATTTCCTCTTCAGGTGGAGACACAGAGTCGTCTCCACGATCTTGAGCGGTGATTTCCGCTGCGGAGATTTTGCCACGGCGTTTGGGAGCTTGTTTTTTGAGGAGGCGATTTATTGTGTCCATCTGTTGGGTACGTTAGCGTGGACAATAGGACCGGTAGTGAGAGGCCGAGAGGAATGCATATGGGATTCGGAGGGAAAGTGCGGAAGAGAGAAAAAGGGAGATTGGGTAATGGCGAGAGTGATTGTGGTGATGGGGCTTAGATCCGTGCGGGAGACGAGACGTACCTTTTCCTCTTCATTGCGCTTCTCGCTCAGGTTCTTGCGTCGCCGGGCCATCTCAGCGCGGCGCATGGCATGCTCTTCCGCGGTGAGATGCTTTTTTGTTTGAGGTTCTGCACCAACTTTGATCAGCTCCCAAGGTATCTCCGCTCCCAGGAAAGAGACGACAAAAGCGTGGGAAACGATGCATACCCATAGGTAACTGAAGAAAATCGCTTCCCACCACCTGATTCAATCTGCCCTGCTGCCTCTTCGTCATCTTGCTAACATCAGGCGTACTGCCACGACTACCAGCATCACTTCTACCCTCATCTTCTTGTTCCATGTCTACATCGTCATCTCCCTCGGCATCCTCTTCTCCTTCGGCGTCTTCTTCGTCGTCATTTTCGGAAAGTTCGGAAAGCTCTTCGTCATCGTCCTCCATCTCCATTTCCTTAGCTTCTACGCTTTTAACTTTGGCATCTTGAGCCGGTGTGACGGTTAGAGTCGGTTTTGCTGCTGGCTTTGCTGGTGTTTTCGCTGCTGGGCCGTTGACTTTGAGAATAGATGGCGGTGCAGGTAGCGGTTGGCCGTCGTCGGCGTCTTCGTCCATGTCGATGTCGCCATCAGCATCTGCGTCTTCGTCTGCACTCTCCTCTTCAGCTTCTCCTTCCGCATCTTCTTCCTCGTCCTCTTCTCCTTCACCTTCTCCATCCTGCTCCTCGTCCTCTTGTTCAATTTGCTCATCGTCACTGGCTTCTACTTCCTCATCCTCGTCATCTTCCTCATCGTCGCTCTCACTCTCCACCACGTAGCTCTTCTTCGCACGACTAGATCGGGGACCGCTAAGTATCTCCGCTCCGGTCAATTGATCTCCAGGATTAGGACTCCGTGAGCTAGTACTGCTCGACATAGCCTCTCTTAATTTACTTGATGGCATCTTGACCGTAAGGCGTAGAGCCTTTCTAGACTCATCGGGTGAACTGGATTCATCGCGAGTGACTTTGACCGTTGAACCAGAGGCACCACGTCGTGAGCGCGTGGATGCTGGCGGTGCAGGAGGACTAGGATGAGATGTCAGAGTGTTGCGAGAGCGGAGGGTGCGTCGCTCGGGCATGGTGGGAGAGGATTGTTGGGGAAACTTGGAGTAATTAGGGAAGAAGAGACATGGTGTTGTAGAAGAAGGAACGCAGTGTCAAAGCGAGCAAGGATGGATGGTGATGATGATGATGATGATGATAAAGTAATGATGGGCGCGCCTTCCGCCTTCCGCGGTGCAGTTGAAACGCGGTCTTGTTCATGCACTCTGCCGAGACATGTCTGTAACTCGAATACGGAAGCGCTACAGGGCCGAAATGCAGTGTGACGTGTTCAAATGAAGTAAAATGTAGAAGGAGATGTCCCGCGAAAAGCAAAGGTGTATATTTAAAGCGGATAGATGTGGATGATAGGACATACGTGGTGTTAGAATGTCCATCGCCGTCGATTGTTCCATCTTGGCGGTAACTCATACTCCTCTGGCGCTTATTAGGCGGCCTCTCTGCCATCCCAACAGATCCTGCTGACAGCGCAGTTCAGCCGGTTGGCCTTCCAGTAAAGAATGCACGATAGCGGGTAGCGCCCCCTTCCGCTGCAACGTCAGGCTTGAGGCACGCTTGCTTTCCCTCAAATCTGCAGCTTTAGCGTTCAAGTACCTACTTTACCTTACTTGCATAATTACAGAGCGTTCCAGTAGAGTCATCTAAAGACTCCTGCATAAATAGGTTGATGCATCTTCAAATTCCCCCACACTTCCTTGGATACCGTAATCGGTAATCGGGGCTTGACCAAGGCGCTAGATTCATTTCAGCTAGCCCCACGTCTGACAGGTTCGGGCCGTTTTACATTCAATGCGACACGGTGACTCTAGAGAGCATCTTATCCAAGTGGAATCTCTTACTATCAATATCACTATATATTGCTAAACGCCATACAATTCAATGCAATGCGGCCCTGGGTATGCTCTCGTCAAAAAGCTGTACCTAGGACTGTTCCGAAAGTGCCGGCGGTGAAGATGCTTCGCCGGAGGTGTCACATGCATTAGGCTGCTTCCAGGTCGTTCCGTTCATAACAGCATTGGAGCATTTCTTCGAAAGGCACGTGATTTGCAGCAGCGTTATTAGGATCCTGTACCTCTACATTTCCGGGAGCAGGCAAGCCTGTTCTCAAAGACTCCAGCTTGTCGCGAAGCGTGTAATATCTGGATTCTCACAAAGTGCCTCAATCATTGTTCAACAGGAGCACGAAGACACTATCTTTGAGTCTTGGCATTTCATCGGCCATTGTCGCGTGATACTTAAATAGCTTTGATAGAGTTCTGCCTCTCCTGACCAGTTGTATTGCCGAAGAGCCTCAACTGTTATGGTGTGTGAAGATAATACCACCCGTTTCTCTTCTTTTAACCGTAGTCTTCGTCGTCTCTTAACCCGATGACTTCGGGTAAGTCCAAGTAGTATTGTGATCCGTAGTCAAAATGCTTGGGGGTATTTCCTGAGGACATGGCGCTGAAAGGTCTATTTCAAGAGAATTTGCCCTTGTCGAGCCGAGAGAGGTGCGAGAACTTGACAATAATTCTATCATCCGAAATGAATGTTGAAGGGTTTCTAATCTTCCTATGTCAATACCTTGAATCTTGTTCTTAGTCCCCAGAGTCTCCAAAACCCGTTCCAGCCATTGCCTCGAATGGAACTTCCAAGGGATTGCATTGTAGTAGATTGGCGCTGCCTTGAGATAGACCCATCAACAAGTGAAAGCAATAGGCAGTGTAGGTATTCCCTCGGAGCGTGTTGACTCTCTTAATCATATTCTGAGAGTATCTGATGCTCTCTCCCTTTCGCAGCGGCTCATCCCGCCAACGAGTCGTCGAATTTCATGCCTCTGCTGGTGGTTGCGGTCGACGACGAACGCAAGCTTGTAGACCTCAATACATAATTAGAGGGGTAATGGAAGGAAGCCGTAGAAGTTACGGCCGAAGCTAGAAAAAGAGGAATCAGCGTGGTTGTATGAAGGGTAAGGGTGTCTGGACTTGACAAGCTGTTGTTGCTGCCACCCCCCGAAGGACGCGGGTCTGTCTCCTCTCATTTCTGAGTACACTGTAAACTCTCGAGATCATCGTCACGAGCGTCACTGGCGGGCCGTAGGTATTCCATCGAGCCAACTGCTTTGTTGTTTGATGAGGGTCAAAAGGCATCTAAGAAGCTCTGTCCAATCACATCTTGGCAGTACAAGACGTGACAAATGTACCCCCCAATCACTCGGAACTCACGCGAGCATGGCCGCTTCGTCCTTAAAGTATAGAAGAGACAGGCGTTCGGGTTTCTACAGATGAATGGCGAATTGTTGACCTGGTGCCGCTTTAGCGAGAGAGTGGGGGTGGTGTAAGACCCCACTTTTGATATCCTGGGGCTATTTAGCATTGGCCGTGAGTTGAGGGTCTCAAAAATGGTCTTGCCAGTCAGAAATCAGCTCGTCCAACGTGTGTGCAGGTGCCGAAGGCGTCTGCCGTTTCTCCGCGGCCTCTTCCCCACAATTCGGGAGCGGAGATAATTGGCGAATAACGGCCGCTAATTTTATACAGGCAGCTGAGCATCCGAGCCTCTGGCCTATGTCCTCTACCCTATACCCTATGGCCAATGCACAAGGTGAACCCTCGGTATACCTTCTTCAAAACCATAGGCCAGCCTCTGCAATTTGCAGTCTCGGACGAAGCCTGAAGGATTCCTTCACCAAAGATGGCTGTGATCGCCGATGCTATTCTCGGCCTGCTTATGCGGACCTTAAGATACAAAAGGTTTCTCACCGCCTTACAACCGAAATCCAATCTTGGTTTTCTTTGAGCCCCATACATATCGCATCACGTCCTCCCGACCTTGCTTCAAGACTCTTTTGATCAATTACTATTGGCGTCGATACCATGATTCAAAGCAATAGCCAGATCGGTGTTCGGTTGCTGCCTAATACCTCCTGTGTTCGTTTCCCATTCCAATTACTGTCTTCGCTGAGTTCCTTCCACCTATCTTTGAATATGTGTGCGTTCTCATCAGCTGAATACTCAATTTAAAAGTGCGGTGAACTTGCCCAACTACTAGGCCCGAAAGTCTCCTTTGCCAACTCATCCGCCTATCTGGCAACTGAAAGAGCATACTGGTCTCTTCAAGAAGCAGACCTCTCACCGACATGCATCGTAGTGCCATCAACAGCAGAGGATGTATCCACGACCGTACGGACGATTGCCGGCAACCAAGAATGCCCATTTGCCATCAAAGGAGGAGGCCATGCGCCACAGGCTGGATCCGCGAATATCGTAAGTTACATTTTCAACCACATTACTTCCGTGTATTTTACTCCCTAAACTTATCTTACAACTCAAGCTCTTATCTGGAAAGAGGAATGCTGACTGTGAATCCGTTCAGGATTCAGGCGTTACGATCGATATGACCGGTCTGACGTCGGTGACGGTCAATGGAAATAAAACGGTCGCTAGTGTTGGCGCAGGGGCATCTTGGTTAGATGTTTATCTTTACTTGGATGGCCTCGGTATTGCGGTAGCTGGGGGTCGAAATGCTGCTGTTGGCGTCGGCGGATTTACTCTTGGAGGTCTGTCATTCCTTCTCTTTCCACAATTTCGCCCAATATTGACCTGTCCCTTTGAAGGTGGTATTTCCTACTTTGCACCGCGAGAAGGATGGGCATGCGACAACGTTGTGAATTTTGAAGTAGGTCCCTTGTGCGAACTTTGTCTAAAGATGCTGCTGAGCTAACAGTCATAGATCGTTCTCGCATCCGGCGCCATTGTCAATGCCAACGCCAAAGTCCGGCCAGACCTCTGGCGTGCTCTTAAAGGCGGCAGCAACAACTTCGGCATCGTCACTCGTTTTGATTTCGAGACATTTCCCCAGGGTGCCCTATGGGGCGGTGCTCTCACACAGTCCATAAACAGTAGCGATGAAGTCTTCGAAGCCTTTGCGAACATTGCCTCAGCGCCTCAGTACGACCCTTACGCCTCTCTTGTGACCGGTCTTACCTTCAACTCTACAAGCCAGCAATGGCTCATCGGGCATCTGGCCACGTATACCAAACCGGTGGCAGACCCTCCTGTGTTTGAAGGGTTGTTGGCGATTGAACCGCAACTTCAAAATACCTTGGGATTCACGAATCTCAGTACCTTAACGAATGAACCGGGACTGCCTGTACAACTGTAAGCATCAACCGGAGTCTACATCCTAGCCCCATCACTAGATCTGGTATAAGCATCCGGAGCGATTCCAGCTGAATGGAGGCTTCACATCGAGTCCCTTGGAGCTGACATGCTTGTGTCTTCCCACAGTAATTCGCTCTTCTACACAGCGACCTATGGTGTCTCAGCCACACTACTTGCCAAGATCCTCGACATAAGCAATGAGACCATTTATTCCACCTATCCTCGAGTCCCAGGCGGTGTATTATGGAGTCTTGCCTTCGAACCATTACCTACGCAAGTGACAAAATTCGGCCCATTAAAAGGTGGTAATTCGCTGGGCACAACACCTGGTGACGGCAATGGCATTGGTAAGTACCAATCTCGGCGCTTTGAGTGTAACCCAGTATCCCATGTATAGAATCCAGAAGCTGAAAATTGGTGCTTGCAGTACTTCTCCTCAGCGCCTTCTGGGCCTCCACATCCGCCAATGCTTTCGTGCAGCAGACGGCTCACAGGATCATGCAGAAAGCGAACGAAACGGCCAGGGGTATGGGGATGCTGCATAAGTTCGTATACCTGAATTATGCGAATCAGGACCAGAATCCGATATCGACTTATGGACGAGAGAACGTGGCGAATCTGAGGGCGACGGCGACGAAGTATGATCCGCGAGGGATTTTCCAAAGGCAGGTTCCTGGCGGTTTCAAGTTGCCGGTATAGGTTCATGAAAGCGTATTGGGGGGAGAGAAGGGGAATTGGACGGGGAACGGGTGCGTCGATGATGAAATAACCGTTCGTTCTCATAGAGGAAAGCAGACTGCACAACTGAATGAAGCTGCACAGAATCGTCCTAATATTAAACGATACTGTTGTACTTTTACGCAAAAGACCGCTTTGTCATTGAAGAAGATTTCCCAACGACTCCCAGCAGGAACAACGTCGTTATAGATGTACGACGACGACGAAAAAAGCAGTGCTATACTTCTGAGACTACAAACTCTCTTTTCTTCCCCGTTACAGCTTTCAGTCCGACTCCATTGCGCGCCAGAATGGCGCCAAAGAGCACAGATGCTCTCGAGACAGATCATCTCCTTTGACAAAAGGTCACCAGAAACAGAAACATCACAGACAGGGCGAAAGGGCGACTCCAACAGAACAAACCCCCTTCGTGCCAAGAGACGTCGCTTTAAACCCCCTCGTGCCAAAAGACGTCGCTGTCCTCCACGCGCAGCATTATCTCGACGCAGATTTCGAGAGATTATTCCCATCCGACCCAGGTTGTTCGCCATCCTGGTCCTACTCAAACGTGAGGAGATCTTGAATGAGATCCTCGAACACATTCCAGATGATAGCTTTGTCTACAGCAATGAAGAGGATGTGCCACGGGGGATTGGAACTCGAGACGAACGAGCGGATTTCTTTGCCCGACAATCCCATTTCCCTCCTCCACTAACGCGCGACTTTCCCCCCGCATATTTCCGGCCACATTTCGGCCTCCTTGGGTGGAACGGGCTGATGAGTTTCGAAGTGGGGCTTACGGCATCGTCCGTCAAGTAAAAGTAGCCAAAGGACATTTACCTGAATATCACCCGGTGAGACTGCGGCCCCGAAACAGAATAGGACTCTGATTGACGGTAGAACAGGACGGAAATGAGTATTTAGCGTGGAAGAGCATTGAAACAAGTATTTCAGAGACCACGAACAAAACTCGAGAAGAAGTCAAGACATTGAAGAATCGTCAACATGAGCACATCGTACCTTTGGTGGCTTGCTACGAGACACTGGCTCGAGACACACGGGGTCACACTCTCCATATCCTCTTCCCCTTGGCAGACCAGAACATGGCCGACTGGATTAGTCGTCGTCAAATTAATCTAGGACTTCCAGACGAGCCACTGCACCGGAAGGAACACTTGTATGACAGTATACTGTCAATTCTCTCTGCACTTGCGTACCTCCACAGAGTCATCGATCATACCTTCGCTTCTCATCACGACCTCAAGCCTGAGAACATACTGTTGTTCGGCAAGGTATGGAAGATCTGCGACTTTGGCAAGTCACATATTAGAACCCTTGAAGAGGGGTCCGAGACGAGCACTAAACACCTCGGGACTCTCAGATACCAGCCACCGGAGTATGATAATCCGAATATCAAGCATGAGCGGGCTTTTGATATCTGGTCAATGGGCTGCATCATAGTAGAGCTTGCATTTCTCATCGTCTATGGGCGGGAGACTCAAGAATGGGAGAAATTTACAATGGAGATAGAGAACGGAAGTCGGCCGGTTGGAGACGACCGGAGAAGAGATGAGTCGTTTCGTAGCAATATGCCAGTGGTGACAAAATGGATGAAGAAACTAACGCGCGAAGATGGAAGCCGCAACTTCATATACCTGATGGATAGAGCATCGGCAATGCTGTCTCAAGAACGAGAGGCTCGACCATATTCTTGGGAAGTTGAGATATATCTGCACGAGGCATTCCACCCCAATGAGAAAGGTAGCGATCGCCGAGCCAGAATTGAGAAACTTGTCCAACCACCACCGGCAATTTTCCATGGACATAATCCACTAGCGAGGGCGATTTACGAGAACAATTCGGACCTGAAGGATTGCTTGCAGAAAATTGGCTGGAGACTTGATCTATCCAATGTGGCAGATCCGTTTGATGCTGATTCAATGAGTGGGGCTGCAGATGTCGTGAGCCTGCTCGAAGACTTCAGGCCGTCCTCCAGCCAGATAGCTCAGGCGTTTCTTCACGAACTGGGCAAGGTGGAGGACGAAGGAGAAAAACATCGCCGTAAGGTTCTGGCTCAAGAATTTGCCAAAAGGTTACCTCCAGCTCAACATAACATTTTTGAAATCAGGGCCGTGCTAAAGCGGAAGTATCCTGTGGACCTAATGAGGATACTGGCAGGTGAAGTGGAAGTGAATCATATGGACGGTGATACAAACACCGCCCTGACCTCGGCCGCCCGGGTGTGTGATGTAGTAGCAGTCGATGTTCTGCTCCGATATGAAGCCGAAGTCGATCCAGTGAACGCCATGTCTGAAACGCCTCTCATGGTAGCCTCAAAATTAGGCCACACTCCTGTGGTTCAAAGACTGTTGCAGGAGGAGCACATGGGAATCGGTTTCAGAGATGATGATTATCGAACCCCATTGTCCTATGCGGCACAGTTTGGACATTACGAAGTTGTCCGCCTTTTGCTAGACAAAGGAGCTGACCCTAATCTCAGTGACAAACAAGGCAGAACCCCTTTGTCAATAGCCGCTGGAGAGGGAAAGAAAGAAATCTTCGAGAAACTCCTAGAACGCCAGGATATTGGCAAACCACTGATCATAGATCGAGACGGGATGTCGCCTCTGACGCACGCTCTGGCCGAGGTAAAGCATCGACAGTGGAAAGGAGCGTCAGAGGGGATGTATGACTATAAATCTTTCAGAAGGAAACTCGAGAAGCTGCGAGACTCGACTGATGAGAAGAAAGTCGAGGAAAGGTTCCAGCAGAGGAACACGGAAGATCCTCGATAGACCTAGGAGCAGTACGACGCAACTTTCGCTACCTCGATGGCCTCCAAGACCTCCGAGATCTCCAAGTGCTCTTCTGGCCAAGTCCGCTTCTGGTACGCTCGAAGAGCGTAAGATCTGGAAGGCCTTGCGGAGCTATTTGAGAGAATTGAGTAGCGGGCTCTTGTTCCCAAGCCCACAGGGGGGACCTCGGATCCTGTATCCTGTTTGGAGCGGAGGGCAATAGGGTAAGCAAGTCAGCATTAATGAAACTCGTCTGCGAGGGACAGGAGTTAGGCATTGCACGTCGACACCATCGTTACACTTCAACCTCCCAACAACACTGTTAGTGCCATTGTAGAATTTATTCCTCATCTCGCTTTCGCTCTTACAGTATACTCTATTACCTATTTCCTCACAGCAAACGCACCTTCTCTTCTTACTGACTCCCCCTCCCATTTCATGCCTTTGAGCGACCTGCTCCAATCTCTGAAGTTCTTTACATCCTCCCACCAGAATCTCCAACCCAACTCCTGTCCTTATCGCTCGCACACCAGCACCCCTCAACGCCTACAACAGCTCCTCCCCCCCTCAATCCTTTCTCTCTTGTCTCTTTTCCAAGAAACTAACCCTCTCCCACCACATTCCGTCCCCACTCTCCCATCCCTTCCCTACCCGAACCGCTCACGCTCACCTCCATCGATCGCAACCCTCGGTCTCCAAAACACAGACTACTCCAACTTCTCCGCAACGCTCACAGCCCTGTGCCGCAAAAGCCCGAAAGCGCAGACCCGCGGCATCTCCGGCGCAAACAACACAATGTGTGGCTTGGGAGTGAGAATAGAGCATTGTGGACGACGGCGGTGATGCGGCGGCATCGCCCGGGCAGGGCGTCACGTTCCGGGGGGTGAGTTTGCTGGGTTGGGCTTTGGAAGACGGCGGGTGGCGGGTGGAGAAGGAGACTGTGGATGGGAGAGTGCAGGAGGAGGAGAAGAAGGAGGGAAGCATATGATACGAACTCACAGTTTGATATGTGGATGTCCTGAGGTTTTCCGGTCCACTGTGTGAAAGATGGCAGTACGTACTGTTCGTCCTCGCAATGCGAGAGTCTGAACTTATCCCCACCTTGGACCGCACCGTGTTTCACCCGTGGGTCAAACCTTCGTACCCTTGTGGACCCATGCAACATATTCTTACCAATGCTGCATTTCTCCATCCAATACGCGATCGAAAGGTGTCCCGATGGCGGACGAAAAGATGTGGCTCGGGGAAAACTTGGGTTGGGTGCTAGACGCATTGGCATTGAAAGTTGATTGAAGACGCTGGCCTGAGGTTGGCCGCCGTCAACGACAATCTCTGTGTAACCGCTCGTCAGGATGGGTAGAAGAGAGGGTCGAAGCGGCCGGCCGCTGAGTTAGAGATTGTGTCAGGGATGAGCACTCTGCCTAATATGGGGTCAATCAGGCATGCCGGAAGGCTCCCGTCGTCCTTCTAAGGGGGTTACCTATTTCCATTGGTATCATTGACAAAGAAGACTCTTCTCACAAGATCGGGGGATCTTACTGTGTTCACCCTTGTTGTTGAGGGCGCGAACCTATTATCCTTTGATGCTCGGGTGACTGAGTCTTGAAGATTTCCGTCTTCATGACAGTGTCATTACTACTACTTGCATTTGATAGAGGGGAACAGTCGACTGCTTCTGAAATCCAGATGTTTGCATGCTTCATTATTGATTTCTCTGGGAGCAAAGAGCGGTCAGTCACCCTTTGCTTCTCGGAAGGCTGCATGCTTAGGTTATCCTTCTCCGTACTAGCTTTGTCTTCCGAGTTTTGCCCAGTCATACTTGGAAAAAGTTCGAGTGAAGCGTTAGCGCGTCAAGCGCGGTTGTCAACACTTGACACTTACATTACTTTACATTGCTTCTTTTCCCATAATCCAAGGCCATCACGGAGGTGAGAGTGCAAGACTGCAACGTATCTAGGTTGGGTCAACCGGGATGTCTCAGCCACCTGAATCTACGATGACATTCTCACTCACTACCAAGAAGCCGAAGCTAGCTCACATCCACTCTAAAGATACAGACGAACACGTCAAATCTCTCATGGGAGACTTTGAAGCAGTCAACGTGTGGCTGCAGGAAAATCAAGATGAATGCTCCAATCATCCGATGAAGAGACTCAAGAAAAACATCGCTTTGGGTGTCAAGCAGGGACTTGATTCGGCCCTGGAGGATATTTCCCAAGACATCCGGAAAACAGTGGGCAAAAAGTTTGTGAAAGGAGTCATCGAGAAAGAGATTGCTAAAGAACTGTCGAAAGGCTTGTCTATAGGGCTACCAAGACTCTTGTTCGACAAGCTCCACAATTCATACAAAAACCTCAGTACAAAATTGACGGCCGAGGACGAACCTGCTGGAGGCCACAATCAGCGTCTGCGCGAACATGTGTCACGAACGAGTTCCGCTTTGATTTCCAACAAATCTGTATCAGAAAAGGTTGCCAGCCAAGACGAGGAACAAACCAGATGGCCAGACGACGGCGGCATGCGAGGGTGGCGGAGAGTCCCCTCCGAAGACTCGGAAGCTTCCTTCGAAATACCTGAAGAGCACAATGAAGGGTCGTATGATAGATGCTGTGTCTGTAGTACCCTGGCCAGTGAAGAGGAGCTTATAATAACGACGTGCTGCTCAAAACCTGTCGGATCACTTTGTTTTGAGGAGGCTTTGCAAGAGACCGGCAAATGTTGTCTTTGCCACGAAACCCAGAACCTTTTCCCCTCGCCAAAGCTTACTGCACTTCCTGAGCACGACTTGGACTACAAGATCCACTTTGTCGAGGTCCAGGATGAAGCGAAGAATTCCAAAAAGGAAAATCCGGCCATATATGTCTCTGATACATCAGAGACAGGCATCGCTTGTCCATCTCAGAAAGATTCCCAACAATTTATGGAACCTGGAAAATCTGCAGAACCAGAGGATCATGTCAGGGAAACGAGTGAGTGGACAACGCGAACATCAAAAGTTTATAAGCCCAATGACAAGCTAATACAGAGCAAAGGAACCCGTTCCAGAGGAACCCGTTCCAGCCCCTCGACTCAGCTAGGCCAGAAGTCACATGGCAGTTCCACCCATAGGAAAGCGCAGCGTCTAGAGCCGCTGGGGAATGATCCAGAAGGTTCTGTCGTTACCAAAGAATACGAACTCGTTCTTAGGCTATTTGATCAGGCAGTCATCAGCTACCTGAAAGACCTGAGCCGGGAGGACGTGTCGACTACGGTGTATGAAGCACTCGAGGGACGCCTTCCTCCCACCGTCCATACGACAATTCTCTTCGGGGTCCTCCTTCTAGAGAGTGGAGACGTTCGACTCAAGTATGGAATCGATAAAAGCCAAGCCCCAGACTTGGAAGGCGGTGCAGCGAGCTGGGCTGAGACTCTTGAGAAATCCGTGAGAGCTCGACTGGGAACATACACGGTGATAATGCACAATTTAGAAACCGAGACCATGGACCTTTCCGATGAGGTCATGAGAACGAGGACGATCGAGGAGCTTGTGGGCTACAATGCCTCTGCTATGCAGTATCTCAGCCGACCGGACGATATTCCGCTCATCCGCTGGACCATGGGCGGCAAAAATATTCACAAGGTTAAGATAGGCTCTGTCACAATGGACTTAGCTACAGCGGCTCAAGCAAACGAGGTCATGATCCGTGGACTGTTGTGGAAAGGGCAGCGTCGGTATTGCGTAAAGCATGGGCCAAGGCGGAAACTTGTTCAGTGCAATAAATGTCAAGCCTTTGGCCACACCGCAGTGGACTGCTCTTCCCCACCTCGATGTTCGGCATGTGCAAAAGGCCACAGGTCAAAACATTGCCCTCTTGGCCTCAACGCTAGCCCGAAAGGCTTGAAGTGCGCTTTATGCGGCGGTGGGCACAGTGCTCGCGACTACTTTTGCACCGTCAGAAGGGGTGAAGAGTTACGACTCGGCTACCACTTCTATCCCATGGATGCGGGCATCGTGCTGACAGCAACTGAGACAATAGAAACGACAGCTTCTCTTCTGCCAGCGTCAACCAAGACTCCACTACTAGCGACAAGTCTTTCACATTTACCGAACACTGGCTGGTATTCCGAGGTCGGCATTAACACACCCGTCGTGGAGCAGAGACCTCCTTCCACTGCCTTCACTAAATAGATCATCTTGCAGCGTGCCAATGGTCCCAAAGATGCAATATCCGCAAGACTGATTGAATCTCGCATCAGCGCCCCTTCAGACTCCATAGGTTGTGAAAGTGAGTGAGTGGAGATGCCCGGCCTCGGTAAATCGCTTCGGGATAGAAATTCAAAGCTCGAGGGAACCTTGCCCGTGAACGCAGAGGCCCCAGAATGTACCCGTGACTTTCCCTTCTATGTTGCAGTGCACCGACGGAGAGCTGTGTTGGGAACCCGAAGGACTTTGAACGGCCTGGTCAACGCTGCTCTGCACTGCAGCTAGATCTGTGAGCCGCCAATTTCAGCTTGATTTTTCCAGAGGTTTTTGAATACGCTAAATTGTGAGATGGCAAAGACCTACGATATTTTCGCTCCGTAAATATAAGAATATTTTAATAGCGTTATTATAGCCAGCTTAATTACTTATTTATTCTTAATAAATATAATAATATCGCTTAAGATTTCTATTAAAAATAGCTAAAATATTAATAGATATTAATATATAGATATTACTTTAAGAGAAATTATAAAAGCGCGAAGCGCGAATTTTTCGCGAATTTTTACTATAGCGAAAAATTCGAGTTTTAAAAACGATTATTACTATTAAAGAGACGGTTATTAACTTATATTAAATATATTCTCTTTATATATAAATTTAACTAATAAATATAATAAACTTAAATTTAAAGTCGTCTAATAATCGTTTAAGACGATTACTCTTAATAAAAATTTAAGTAACTCGAAATTTTCGTAGCTATAATTTCGATAATTTCGAATAATAATTTCGAATGATAATTACGAATAACGATAATTTT